CCTGTTTGTTCCCCGAGTCATATTCCCTATGGAAACTTGCCTCAGTATTGACTCCAATCCCAGTGCTCTCAATCAGAACGTGCCTCCCTAGCACTGCACTGTATTGTTGTTCAGTCATTTCAGTCATGTCCCACTGTTCTTGGCAAAGATCCTGGAGTGGTTTTGCATTTCCTTCTCTCATTCATTTTTCAGATGAGGAAACTGAGGCAAACAGGGTTAAGTGACTTGGCCAGGGTCACACAACTAATAAGTGTCCGAGGCCAGATTTGAACTCAGGAAAATGAGGCTTCCTGACTCCAGGCTCAGCACTCTATTCATCTGTGTTATCTAGCTGTCTCACACTAGCCATCCTATATTGTGTTTAACAAAGAAATATCACAGAGGAGTCACGAATAAATAAAATTGATTTGCCTATTAGCATTTCGTGGTGGTATCCCATCTTTTTTTTTTCTAATCACGCCCTAGTCTTTTCTTTTTCCATTTTCCCCTCCCCCCCTTTGTTTATTTTATCTTTAAATGTTTTTCTTTGTTCATTCAAAGGCTTTATTCTTTGCCAGGCTTCTTCTGTTACTATCTTTTGTTATTTCAGTTTTTTTGTATACCTTGTCATTCATTTGATGTAACATTCCCCACATATCATTGGACTTGATCTGGATCATCGTTATGGTGATCACAGACTAATATATGGAAAGCAACCATAGGGGTCACTAGGTCTTCTCTTTCCTCCGTTTTAACGACAAGAAAACTGAGGTTTTCTCTCCCATAAAGGTGAAATTACTTCCTCAAAAATGGCAAAGCTAGGATTCAGATTCCAGGTCTTTGGATTCGAAAGCTAGCACTTTTTCCACTATACCACAGCGCCCGGAAAGTTTTTTTGGGTTAGCCAGTTGGGTCATGTGACAGTATCTATAGGGCTTTGCGATAGGGAAGCTACCCAGAAATGAAACTGCTGAGGGAGAGGTTCTTAACCTTTTTTGCATCATAGATCCCTTAGGCATTCTGGTGAAGCCTGTGGACTCCTCCAAATAACTTTTTTAAATTCATAAAATACATTGAATTAAAAAGGAAGCCATTTATTAATTTTTTTAAAAAAGTCTATGGGCCTCAGGTTAAAAATTCATATTTTAAATGAACTTTGTTTAAGAGCCTATCAGACTAACATCATTTAGGTGGGAAATCCAGACCTGAGTTTCTTCTGTATTTGAGGCTGACTCACTGCACAGCAAATGATGTAATCTCTCTGCATTTGTCTCCTCTAAAATGAGAATATTAATACCTGTCAACTTGCTGTCTGATACTGAGAGAATTACCTAGTAAATATCTGTAATACACTTTGAGCTGTTCAGTTGAAGGGTGCTAATGGTTATTCATCTTGCCTTAAAATACAATAGTGAATTCCTACTGATTGATGGGAGAGGAAGTACTAAATTCCACCTTCAATCTTGGTAAAATTTCGATTGTGTGGGATAGATCTTGGACTCTTGAAAGGTAATTTGTTGCTTAGTTTATCATTTGCCCTGTATCTAGTTTCATGTATTAAATGTTAGAGCAGTTCTTTTTATATTGTTAAACATGATATGGGATCTACTGAAAAGTATGTGTAATAGAACTCTCAAGGCACCTCCATGGCTGATTTGGGATAGAGGTTTAGGTTGGTGCCACACCAGGGATGCAGGTTAAGTTGTCTCGGAAAGGACTCATTGGAAAATATAAACTTGAATGCTGCAAGACCAAACCCTGGCTGGTAGGGGTGGGTGGGGGGTGGTACAAGTCTTGAAGAACCATGTTCCATTTCTGCCTTAGACAGTGGTGATTTATTAGCTGTGTGACCTTCAGCAAGTCACTCAACCGTTTTCAGCCTGTTTCCTCATCTATAAAGTAGTGATGATAAGACCACCTACCTTTCAGGATTAATAGGACAATCAAATGAGATAATATACATAAAGCACTTTGCAAAACTTAAAGTACACTCTGTAAATGTTAGCTGTTAATATTATTGTTAATATTATAGTCACAGCACAAAAGACACCTGGGAGGAAGGAATACACAGGTACACGCATGACTCCTTTGGCCACCTTCCCAACAGTTGGCATACCAGGTGAGACAGAGACATATCCATATAAGGGTGGGTTCACAAGAATACTCATTGTGCCAATTTACTTCCGTAACTCCAGAGTCTGAGTTACTCTCTGATAGCAAATGAAACAGCTGCAGGGCTTCACAGGGTGGCTATTGCTATTCCTACTAGCAATGAACTCTACTCTTTCTTTTCCTTAATTTTCCTGCTATATGTCCCTCCATTTTTATAAGCCCATTAATGGTGATTCATTTCAGCTCAGCTACAAGTCATTCAGTACGATACTCCTTCACTTAGTTCTCTCTGTCTCCCAGCCTTCCTCCCTTTCTGTCTCTCCCCCCTTCTCTCTCTGTGTCTCTCTGTCTCTCTCTCCCCCTCCCTTCCTCCCTCTTTTTCTCTTTCCCCCAGCCTTCCTCCCCTGACCTGCCCTCTCTGTCTCTTATCTCTCTATGGCTTTTTCTGTCTCTTTCAGTTTCTTGTCTGTCTCTGTTTCTGTGTGTGTGTGTGTGTATGAATAATATAACTGATCTTAGAATATACTTAACATAAAATCCATTCTGGCTGTTGTGATATCTACATATTAGATATAGATATCTATTATAATACATATCCACATACATATAAGTCACACCTGTATTATCAGTTGTTTTTAAGAGAATTAGAATACAGCTAATCTTATAATATACTTAACATAAAGCCCATTCCGGCTGTACTGATATCTATATATCTATATTGTGGAGGGAATTATGATTTTCATATTAATCGATATGATATGTGTAACGAATATACTAATAATTTAGATTTCTTGGAATTGCCTTTTCTGGCTTTTGAAGCTTACAGTGTAGCTTGAAATGATCAATAAAACACTTGATAAGGCTCTCACAGTCACTGCGTTCTTGTGTCTGTGTATGTTAAGTCAATTAAATCAAAGATTGTAGAACCTATTCTGGCCACAGAACTCTGGTACTGTGACCCACCAAGTAACAACTCCGAAAGTCCTGAAACAGTACTGTTCCCACAGGATTGCAGAACATCTGTATTGTGGACCCTTGGGCTCGTGGTGGGAAACCACTCAGACCCTGGAAATGATTGTAATCCACCTTCCCTCTCCCTTCTTACTTGTGATTTATGCATATAATCTCTGCCTTCAATACAGAGAGGTGGAATTCTGATCTGGAGAATTCCCAATTTGCAAATCTGTTCCTCATAATAAAACTAATTAATTAAACTTCTTTTTGATTACTGGTACTGGCCTGTACTGTTTTGTTCTTCTCAGGTTAAAGACTGGCTCAGTAAAACTCTGTTAACAATATCTATCTACCCATTCATATATATCAAATATGTAGATATATTTATTTAATATATGGATATCAGAACAGCCAGAGTGGGCTTTATGGGAAGTATATTCTAAGGTTAGCTGTATTGTAATTCTCTTTAAAACAATTGGTAATACAGGTATGACTTGCATGTATGTGAATATGTACCATAATTAGAATATTAGAATTAACCAGAATATTCCTTCCCCCTCATATGAACTAGTTAAGAATTTACCTTTCATTCTTCAAGTAGGGACTGGCCAAATAGATGTTTGCCTGCTCTCTTCTGCTTTCTAAAAAAAATGAGAGCTTTGTGTTTGTTCTCTTTTGCTGTTTTGTTCACTTATAACACCTTCCTGATTAGACGTGAAAGTGAGAGATAGATTAAATGGTAGACTTTAATTAGCAGGCTGCATTTCTTCCCCTGGCTGAATAGTAACCCAACTTGAATCTGAGAGCAAGAGATAGCCCCAAAGCAGATAATTTATGAGAAATGTCAGTTGGCATTTTTGTATTTTTTAGGATCCACAAAAGTTCATTTTCTTTTGAGTAGGTTTAGAAAATGCCAACCCCCAAAGGGGATTCCTAAGGTGTGTTTTGTAATTTGCCTTTTTTTTTTTTAAATGCCTGTGGCTTTGGAATTGTTGATTAAGAGTTGGGCTGGGGAATTCTTGAGGCTAGGAAAAGTGATTGGGAGGTGAGAGTGGGTGGGCAGATACTCTAGAAGGAAGGAATGAGATCATTGAGTTTTAATGCTAGTGTCTTGCTAGGAAGGCCAGCTTAGCCAGAGGGAAGAGACAGAATTCCCCAGAATCTTAGACAGATGGTTAAAATTCGGCCCTTTCCCCCTGTATCTCTCTTCCCATCAATTTACTTAATTTATCATAACCAATTAAACTAAGACATATTCTTTTATTTATCCTTTTATTTATTGTCTCTGCATTGTAATATTTTAGGTCTCTTAGGATAAAATAGTTTTTAATCCTTACCGTTACTTATTGAAATTTAAGAGTTATATGTGGCCAACTCTGGTCTAGAATGACCCATAACCTTTTTAATTCACTTTTGTCATATATACCAAATTTGGAGGTAGGACCTGGGTTGGAGTCCTCTACTGTATACTGTCTGGTTGTGTGTAATCAAGCTGTTTTATTTCTCCGAATCTCATCTCTAAAATGAGGAAGTGAGACTAGTTACAGTTGGAGGCCCTGCTAGTTCTAAATCCCAGCCTTCCGTCACTTAATAAGGTGCATTTCTTAGAGACTGAAATGGAATTACCCAAACTGGAGACTTTTGTAATTCTTGATTTAATAGCGTAACTTCGACACAACCCTAAAAGTGGTCCTCAAGTAATACTTTCTACATTCAGCTATGATACATCTTTGAGAAGGGCTCCCGTTCGTATATGTGCCGGGATTGCTTCCCAATGAAAACTTAGAAATCTGAGTAAGATCATTGTCTTTTCTTTGTTGTTATAGAACAGTTTCTGTGTGGTTTGGGCAAATAAAGCCATAACAACAACCCCTCCCTCCCCATAAAAACCAACTCCTGATTCTGTGTGCCCTGCAAATTTTTAGGTTCTGATGGATGTTTGTTTTTTTATTTAGTGGCATAGAAGATGAACTCAGCTGAATTCAGTGATGATGAAGAAGAAGGTAAAATATTCTGTATTGTTAGTCTGTTACCTCAACCACTACCATTCCCTCCCTCCACCCCCTCAAAAAAAAAAACTTAAAAAAATTTTTTTTTGACAAATATGTCCTCGGACAAGCACTTTATTGTACCCACTCAGAAGCCACACTCTCATGGCTCATGATGACCCACAGGTGACCCTGGGATCGCAAAGGCTATGTAAATCCTATAAAGCTAGAAAATAAGAATAACAGCTAACATCTATATAGTGCTTATTTTTGTGCCAGGTTCTATGTGCTAAGCACTTTATAATTATTATTTCATTCGATCCTCACAACAACCCTGGGAGGTAGTTGCTATTATCATCTTTATTTCCATTTTACAATTGAGGAAACTGAGGCAGACTGTGACTTGCCCAAGCTCACACAGCTAGAAAGTGTGTGAGGTCAAATTTGAACTCAGATCTTCCTGATTCCAAGCCTGCTACTCTATGCAGCATACCACTTGGCTCCTGACACAGAAAAGCATTAATGTAGACTTAGTGACAAAACATAGGGCTTCTGGCTGAGGACCGAAATAGCTAAGACATCAAGGTTGCTTATTGCATAGAATGCTGGATTTAAATAAAGAAAATCTGAATTTAAATCCTACCTCTGACCCTTACTAGCTGTGTGACCCTGGGCAAGTCACTGTGCGTCAGTTCCTTATTATGAAATGAGGATAATTATATCTGCCTCACATATGAGATAACATATGTAAAATGATTTACAAACTAAATAACTTAGCTGTTCTTCTCAAATGTAGAGTGGCTTGGCTACCAGGGTTTTTTTTTTTTTTCTTTTTATAAGGCAATCAGGGTTAAATGACTTCCCAGGGCCACACAGCTAGTAAGTGTTAAGTGTCTCAGGTGGGATTTGAACTCAGGTCCTCCCAACTCCAGGGCCAGTGCTCTTTCCACTGCACCACCTAGCTGCCCCACCAAGTTGTTTGTTTTTTTTTTTAAACTGTAATTAATTTTATTTTGGGGACTTCAGCAATTCATGAAGACTGCCCACTTAGAAGGAAATGTATATCAGCCGTTATGATTTATGTTGATCTATGAATAAAGTCACAGACCTTTTTGAAATATTGAAATAGGAATTCTATTTGAAGTGTTGCAAAAAAAGAGTAAAATAGCTTTTGTATCAAAATTGGATTTCGCTGTGACTAGAAATTGTTCTCTCTGAGATGAGGTCAAAGGGCAAGACCACGTAAGAGAGTATGGCTAATCTTGAGTGGGGTGCTAGGTAGGCAGAAACATGTAGCGGCCTTGGTTTACCACCCTGACTATGTCTCCCTCACTTCTTCCCCGTGGCAGTTATAAAAAATAACCCTGTGAAAGTGGAGACAGAAGCTGGGGATGCTGTGCTGGATTGTTCTGTGACGTCGAGGGCTGCTGAGAAGCCCCCATCGGATGGCTCATTTACCTCTCTTCAGGACTCTAGCAAGCGGAAGCTGACTGGAAGTGATGGCCATGGAGGCCAGCAGGACATTTTACCTAGTGTTAAAAAGAGACGTCTGATACCTGAGGTGGGTCCTCCTTTTCCATGCTGCTTTTCGTGTTGCTTGCTCAGATTTCTTCTAAGTCTGTTAACATCACATAGCACGTTCTTTGTGATGTTGTCATGTACTCATTATAGGGATAGGAACTGGTAAGTTCATTGGAAACTCGACCAATGTAGGTAGACCTATCTCCTCTGCAATATATTATCATCATCATTATTGTTGTTGTTATCATTGTTCATCATTATCATCATTATTATCATTAGTTGTAGTAGTAATAGCTAATATTTTCATAGTACAGAGTACAAAATGCTTTATGAATATTAGAGAATTTCCAATGAGGGAACAGCCATTGTGTCTCTTATAAAGAAGGGGGTACACATTTCAGGTGAGGGGAGCAACGTGAGGACGCGCTTGTGGCCTTTGACCCCGAGCTAGCTTAAGGAATTGAGGAAGGGCTTCAAAGAAGTTGTTAAGGATGGGGCTTTTTTTGTGACAGACTCACCATTGTATATCCCTTTGGTACGTGTCTTGCCTAAGACTTCAGGTAGTTATAGCACAGCCTAAGGCTTAAGACTTTGCCCAGATACACACCTAACATAAAGGAACACAGATACCACCCATATGACAAGCCTTTTAAAAGCCACAGGTTTGCCACAGAGAAGGCTCCACTGACTCTTTTGCTCTTTCTCTTGTCAACATAGTCAACATTACAACCACAACAGTTCATGATCAGTGCCTGATGGGTTGTATTAAACTGTAAATGCTTTAGGAGTTCAAAGAATAGGAGGGGGAAAAAAGAATGAAAAAATCTGCTTTAAAAAAATTTTAAATTTTAATATAGCTTCATGAAATGAAGAGGCTAGTTTAGGACTACCATTCTGGAGGCCCAAGCTTTCCATGTTGCTTAAAGGCAGTCTTAGAATGAGAGAGGGGCATGTGGTACCCTTGTTATTTGTAACAGCTAATCCCTTCCTGAAACAGAAACTCAAATGCCTTATCTTTTCTGTTGTGGTAGCAGCTTGAATTCGAGAATAAGCATGGGAAAATGAGGAGACTAGCCTGGATAAAGTAGAGGGGTTTTTGGGGGAGGAGTAGAGAATAAAGTAGGATCAGAAAAGTAAAGTCAGATTATGGTGAACCTTGAATGCCTTATGTGTAGGTGGGAATAACATGTCGATATGTAGGTGGCATCTTACAGCCTAGCCCTAGAGGATAAAGTATAAACTCCTCAGCTTGGAATTTATCCTCTAAGTCAAGAGTTTTTAACCTTTTTTTTTGTGTTGTAGACCCCTTGGCAGTCTGGTGAAGCCTATGGACTCTTCAGAATAATGTTTTCAAATACATAAAAGAAAATGCATGACATTACAAAGGAAACCAATTCTATTGAAATACAGTTACCAAAATAAGTAGTTTTTAAAAGGTCATGATGACTTAGGAACTCTGATCAACACAGTGACCAATCACAATTCCAAAGAACTCATGATGAAACATGTTCCCCACCCTCCTGATAGAGAGACGATAGACAGAAAGTGCAGATTGAAGCATGCTTTCTTTTCTTTCTTTCTTTTTTATGGGGGGACATGGCTAATGTGGGAATTTGTGACTATATATTTATAATATGTTTTCTTTTTCTTAGCCTCATAATTAGTGGAGGAAGGCTGGTGGAAGGGAGAGAATTTGGGACTGAAAATAAAATAAAATGGAATTTTCAATAAATAAATAAAAAGAAAGTTCAAGGAAATAAGGATAAAAACTCCTGTTCTGAGTAGTAGGGTACCCTTGGATGTTTTTGAGGAAGAGAGTGATAAGATGAGTTCAGGCTTTTAAGGTAGTTATTCTAGTCTAGATGGGGTTCTCATTGGATTGGGCCACTTTTGATGTGGTCATGACTGAAGGTAAGTGGTTGACTTCTTTAAATGCCTTGTGGCCCCATGATTCCATGGGAATCACCTCACCTGGGATTAAAAGCTGAAGGGTATAAAATTTCCAGAAATGTTTTTCTTGAACTTTCCAGACTAGTTTTGCAGATTCAAGCTGTTCTGGTAATTGAGATAAACATCTCAGTTCAACTTCTGGGGACCTTTCCAAGCCAGTGTTCTAAATATTTCAAGGATCATCTATCATTAGCTGGAAAACTATGAGATCTCAACCCTTAGACCTCTGTTTTGTTCTCTTTTTTAAAAAATTCTGTTGTACTTAAAGCTGACAGATCCAAATAAATGAGAGGACTTAAGGATTTTATAGAAACTGTAGAGCTTTAATATATGAAAATCATCCTTTCCTTTAGTTAGAAAAAGAAGAGTAATAATAGCTAACATTTAGCTCTTTAAGGTTTGCAAAGCACTCTGCAAATATTACCTTATTTGAAACTTGGAAGGCAGGTGCTATTATCTTCACTTTATAGATGAGAACATTTTGGCAGACTGAGGTTAAGTGACTTGCCCAAGGTCACACAGCTGATAACTATCCGAGGCAGGATTCAAACTCAGGTCTTCTATCTACTAGGCCATCGAGCATTTATAGAGGACTTTTAACAGCAAAGAAATACAGAAATTTTAGGAAAAAATTAAGAAAGGTTATTATAAAATCACAAACTTTTCACTGTTTAAAATTTAACAAAAATATGTAAATTATCTTTAGCAAGTAATATCAAATTTATCCTGTTTATTTATATGTTTACACGTAACAGCACAGTGCTCCATATGGTGCAGAGACCTAGAGTATGAGTGATGATGAAGTTAAACAGCCGAAATGATGGATATAATTAACCCACATTGGTTCAGTTGCAATGCTCGTTTAACCTAGGCCATATCAGGCAAAAGTTTTTCAAGATGTTGACCTCCATTCCTCAAATGTGGCTTTCAAAGCCAGTAGCTTCTTTTCCCCTATTATTATAGTTTCTTTCTGTGCAGAGGTCAGTGTGGAGGAGAAATACTGTCAGGCTATAGCACTAGGAAGAGTGGTATAGTTTGTGATAAGTGAACCAGCCTTTAAGCTCATTAAACATCTTCCCCAGTGTCCACTAGAGAACTTTGTTGGGCATTTGAGTGCATCAGTGAGAGTTTCTGTCAGCATAAGAAACCTGGGTATAAAAGGATGGTACTATGCCATGTAAAGGAAGAAATGTTGTGGTTCTTTCTTGTAAAAGAAATTACTAGTATGTTTTATTTTCATATCACCGTAATTTCCCAATATATTTCTCCCCCTCCTCCGCCCAGAGAGACATTCCTCATAACAAATAGTAAAAAAAAAAAAGAAAGGAAAAAAGAGCAGTTTAGCAAAACTAACCATTCCATCAGTCAAGTCCAACAGCATTTCAAGTGACACACACCCATAGTTTCCTACCTTGGAAAAGAAGCCTGTAGTTCTTTCATTGATGTAAGAGTGTGTCCCTGTAGTACAGCTCCCACCCTATGTTCATCCAGGTAGACTGCCCATTGGCCTGTTAACATGCGTTAGGATGTTGAACTCCTGCTTCTCCAATTGGCTTTTCGGCCAGTTTGGGAAAAGGGTGGTGTTGGCTGTGGCGTTGGAGGAAAGCCTAGATCAATTCTGGACTCTGGGCAGTATCCTAGGAATAGATGAGATCATCAAAACAGCAACCTCCCCACCCCAGCCCAGCAGGTTCTGAAATACTGAGTTCATGAACCTCTAGGGAACTGCAAGGACCAAGTATATCCCAGAGGGCACACTCTGACATTCATATAAGTATCATATCCCTCTCCTAACCCCCGAGATCCAGTTTGGTAAATACTACTACCATGTCTGTCAGCTGTTCTAAAAGTTCAGTTCATCAATAGCATTGATGTTGTTCAGTTGTTTCATTCATGTCCAACTCTTGGTGACCTCATTTGAGGTTTTCTTGGCAAAGATACTGGAGTGGTTTTTCACTTCCTTCTTTAGCTCATTTTACAGAAGAGGAAACTAAGGCAAACAGGGTTAAGTGACTTGTCCAGGGTCACACAGCTAGTAAATGTCTGAGGCCAGATTTAAACTCAGGAAGATCAGTTTTCCTGGCACTGTCCACTGGGCCACATAGCTGCCTGTCCGTAATAAGAACAGAGTTATAACTCTTCCTTCCCCTCCACCCTACACTAGAAAAGTATAGTAGAAAGTATAGAAAAGTATAGAAAGTATAGAAAAGTAGGTAGATAGAGATAGATAGATCAGCCCCTTTTGTCAATTTTTTTTTTTCATAAACTCCTACAGAGCTATAGGCTGTGCCCTGGTCATCGAATAAATTGACTAGAATTGTTGCTCCCAGGAAATATTCAACCTGAATGTTCAAGATCATACCATTTAAAAAAAAATTAGAAGAGAACCAGAATTGGCCCACCCCAACCTGTATCATTTATACAGTTGTACAACCTATGTGCAGATAACTTCTCTGCCTTGATAGCTATGAAAATGTCCCTGAAGGCTCAGTGCTGTAGAGGAAATTCTGACTCAGATCCTGGCAGGAGACCACAGTTAGATACAGGGCTAGCAGTGGAACGTGACCTTTTCTAAGTCCCTTGAAATGTTGAAATTATTTTGCAGCAGCCATGGCATCATCTGCTGGGCCCAGACACCACTGAGAGGGGGATTACTTGCAGACGGAATACTTGGCTATGCTTCCCCAAGCGGGCCTGCTAGGCCTTAATATCCTGGATGACAGGTTATGGGTAGAAATCAGTCAGGCTACTGGTGCATGGAAGACCAGCCGCTTAGGAGGTATGGGTTTAACAAGGAATTTACTCTTGGCAGGTCATCCAGGCATCCATAAAATTCATGGGGACCCCTGAGTTCACCAAAGCTAGCTCCTGCAATACCTGCTGATTTGGAAGTTTTATGAACAAGTAGTTAAGAAAGTAATTAAGGTCAGCTACAAGGTATAGTGGATAGAGCACTGGCCCTGGAATCAGGGATATCTGAGTTCAAATTCTGCCTTAGACGCTTACTAGCTGTGTGACCCTGGGCAAGTCACATAACCCAGTTTGTCTTAAAAAAATAATTAATTGGGATGCTTGAGGACAAGTTGGGAG